ATGAAACTGATAGTGTACTTATGATAGTTACATAAGTAAACCAATAAAACAAATCATCAGTCTGTCATCTCATAGTAAGAAGACTCTAGGTTTAATCCGGCGTAAAACAAACAACTGTACTTAAGCTGCGTGAAACCGCCTCTGTCCGCCGATCAACGGACCCTAACCCTAACCCTAACCCTTTAATAAACAGTAAGCAGAATTGATATTGTCCTTGCAACATTGGAATTTCATAAATGCACAAATGGCTTGGCGCGCAAACGAATAACGTCACAACAATGTGATTGGTCACTTGCAATGTTGAACCTGGAACAACATTTTCATGATGGTCTGGGGACAACACCAACACGAGGATATCAGATCATCCTTCCCTCCCCACAGCCTGGACCTGAACATTACTGAGGCAGTTTGGGATCATGCTGACAGAGAACAGAACAAAAGACAGTCAATATTAATTAAAAAGCTATAATGTTCGTTCAAGAAGTCTGGAGAACTTTTCCTGAAGACGACTTCAAGAAATTACAAGAAAGCTTGCCAAAGAGGGTTCAGGCTGTGTTTAAAGAATAAAGATGGTCAAACCAAATACTGACTTTCAAGTTTGTTAGCAATGTACAAACTCTGTTTTTGGATAATGTACTGTATTTCCGTGTAATTTTGCCCTTTAGAAAAATCCTTGTACTTATTTCCCACTTTAGCTAAACAAAATGACACAAGAGCACTCTGAGTGCACACTGCCCCTCCCAGAAGGGCAAGAGTTATACTAAAACAGTGATGTTTATGATGTTTTTATTACAACATGCTGCCGTTAGTCTGTTTTTATTACAACATGTTGCTGTCTGACCCATGACTTTGAAACATTACATACCAAATTGTTGTATTTTATTATCTTTACCTCTGTGATTGGAGCCGAGTTGCTCTCTCCATGCTGTACATGCTCACTCCATATTTGTGATAGATTACTCGATTTTTTTTGTCTAGGTGAACTTTGACCTTGTTCACTAACAATGAAGTTCAAGGTCAAATGCTTAGCCCGTCAGAGTATTCATGTCTCCCACGGCCTAGTATATTGTCATTACATTTGAAGACAATGAATAAAAACACTGTGGGTAATATAATGTTTTTACTGATTTTCACATTTGGTGTGACCTTGATTGGTTTCACCTAGAGCTGGGCGATTTATCGAGTTTTTAAAACATATCGATATATTTTTATACGAGATATAAGATAATATCCTTTATATCGATATAGTCTATGTTATGTTATAATTATAGTTGTGGAGCCGCAAGTTTGCCTCTCTTTCGTCCACTTTTGTCTCTACGCAACGTTACTCCGCCTCGCCTTCACTGAAGA